GCGGAATTGGCTGCTTTGGGTAGCAAACCCCAGGGGGAGTTGGTCGAATTCATTAAAGAAGGGCTGCAACATGTCCAACTCGCCAAAGGCATCATTGTATTAGCCAACATTGTTAAAACTAAATGCTTTTGGGTGGAGGATGGCCTACTCTACACGAAAGGGAAATGACTCTACGTTCCAAAGTGCGGTTACCTACGGAGGAATCTAATGAAGAAATGCCATGATACAAAGTGGGCAGGCCACCCAGGACAAAGGCGTACTAGGGCGTTGCTGGAATCAACCTATTATTGGCCAAGAATGCAGAATGATGTAGAGGCGTATGTGAAGACTTTATCTAGTATGCCAACAAGACAAAGTGGAGCAACAAGCACTCGGAGGGTTGCTGGAACCGCTGCCTATAGCTGAAAAGCCTTGGAAGAGTGTCTCTATGGACTTTATTTCAGCATTGCCTAAGTCAGAGGGGTATGACTCTATCATAGTGGTGGTTGATAGGTTTTCTAAGTATGCCACATTTATAGCAGTCCCCATGGATTGCACTGCGGAAGAAGCAACTTGGTCGTTCCTAAAACATGTGGTGAAGTATTGGGGTGTGCCGAGGTCCATCATCATTGATCGCGACCCTCACTTCACAGGGCGAGTTTGGACCGAGCTATTTAAGATGTTGGGGTTAGATCTACATTTCTTCACTAGTTTTCATGCACAAAGTGATGGCCAAACTAAATGGGTAAATGCTCTGTTGGAGCTTTACCCGAGACACTTCGTGAGTGCCTATCAACGAGATTGGGCTAAGTTGCTATATGTAGCCCAATTCTCTTATAACATGCTGCGAAGTGAGTCCACCAACCATAGCCCATTCGAGTTGGCTATTGGACAACAACCACTAACACCCCACACAGTAATGTCGGGTTACACTGGAAGGAGTCCAGCAGCATTCAAATTTGCTAAAGGTTGGCAGGAACAAGCCTATGTAGCATGTACATACTTGGACAAAGCATCCAAGAAGATGAAAAAATGGGCCGACAAAAACAGACGTGCGGAGGAATTTCAAGTTGGGACTTAGTGCTTGTCAAGCTACTGCCTCAACAATTCAAGTCCCTAAGGAAGGTGCACAAGGGGTTGATACGGAAGTATGAAGGCCCATTCCCAATCACAAAGAAGATAGGTAAAGTTTCCTACCGAGTACAACTATCTCTAAGGCTCAAGATCCGTCTTGTTTTCCATGTGAGCTACTTGAAGCCCTATCATACTAATGAGGAAGATCCAAGCCGAGGAGAGTCATCTAGAGCACCAACGGCGGTCATAACCTTGTGCGACGAAGAAGCAGAATACATGATGGCCAACCAAGTCATTCGAAGACCTGGAGTACCTCCTTGTACCAAGTACTTAGTCCAATGGAAAGGATTACTAGAGAGCAAGGCTAGTTGGGAGCCAGTCGATGCTTTGTGGCAATTCCAAGAGCTAATACAAAGGTTTCGTGAGGAGGATGCGATGAGGTCGTCGCCAACATAGGTGGGGGAGAATGCCATATCCCTGTTGAATTCTCCAATATATCCAGATGGGAGCTTGGAAGAATGAGAGCTAATAGAAGAATCTAGAACTTCCTAACAAACTCTAGAAAATATGAGACCATGGAGAATTCTAGAAGGCCCTAGAGAATTCAAGTACATACACACTTGTACATATAACTAGACTTGTATATATGTGTATAGATATTTCTAGAAGGCAGTCTAGAATGTTCTTGTAACTTGTAAGAAGGCTTTCATGGGAAGCTTCTACATACCATTTTGTTGTGTATTCTAGAATGCTCCAAAGGAGCTTATAAATAGGACTGGGGCTCATTTGCTCCAATCACCAATCAAGAGTTGTACAAGTTGCTCTAAAGTGAATACAAAGGCATTATGTCAAACTCTCTGTCTGCTTGTCTTTCTTGCAAACTTGTGAGTTAAGCTGACTTAGCATCATCAAGTGAGACTTGTGATTGTTTAAGTGTCACACGGATAACTTAGAAATAACTACGTAGGGTAGGTTTCCTATGGGTAGGGGAACAGACAAGCATGGAGGCATGTAGGGTAATGCCTCCTTGACGAGAGTGTCAGGGATTGGCGGTGGTAGCAAGCATGTCATGTACTGACTTATTGGTAATGCGAGTTCTACACCAAGCACCTTGCAAGCACATTAGTTTGTGAGTTGCAAGGCAGGTAGGGTAGATCCTTATTGCATCACCTGGGTTGGTCCTTGGGCATAATGCACGGAGTACGCACTACCACTTGTGGAGTTGGCTTCTCGGGAGGATAACAAGCGCCTAGTCCGTGACAGTGGGCTTCCATGACCTTAATCAGACTTGTCCAAAGGATGATTTGTGTTTGCCAAATGTTGATATGTTAATAGATGCAATTGCAGGATGCTAAAGGTTTTCTTCATGAAGGGTTTTAAGGGTTATGACCTGATTACAATCGCCCTCGAGCACATATTGAAGTCTTCTGTAACACTGTGATGCCATTCAGGTTAAGGAACACAGTTCAACATATCAAAGAGCTCTAATGGCCCTAATTCGTGACAGATTCTACAAAAAAATTTGTATTTTATATGGATTACCCTATTGGTGAAATCTAAGGTGGAGCTGGATTATTTGAAAGATTTTTTAAAAGAGTTTTCAGTAATTATTGCACATACAAGTTCAAAATAAGCCCGTTGAGGTGTACTTGTGGTGTTACCTTGGGAAAGTTTCTTGATTATGTAATCCATCACCATGGAATTGAGCCGGATTTCACAAAAGCACATGCTATTTGGAAATGGCACCAATAAAAGCTCTCAAAAGTTTTTTTCCCATTATTTGTCCTCCCTCTTGAAAAAAGGAGCAAAGCTTTCATGTTAAGAACATATAAAGCCTTTGAGTCTGCCAAGGCCCTTCTCTTCTCTTCAAAAATTATGACCACGCGCCACAAGTGAACCATTCTTATTGTATTTCACATCCACTCTTTTCTCTATTTGAACACTTCTGGCACAAGAAGTTGATGGCCATGAACACCCTGTAATCATCAGCAGAATGGTACAAGAAGCAGAATAGAGATACTTACCTATTGAGAGGCATTGCTTGGCACTTGTTTTTGTGGCACAAAATTTGAGGCATGACCTTTTGACCTACCCACTTCATGTTAGGAATTGCGACTCTTTGTTATTTGCTCACCAGACCTGCAAATGATTGGCAACATAGCTACAATGCCTCTTTCCTTAGCAAAATTAGACATAATACACAAAAGTCCTAAGGCTATAAAATTCAGGCACTGGTTGACCTGCTAGCTCAACTTCTGAATAGGGATTATCAGCCGCCATAAAAATAACGTCCTAGAGATCACTTTGAAGTTGCCTAGCTATGAAGTTGTGGTAACACAATATCAGGTGGAAATTTTGATGAACCGTTTTAAATACTCAAGGAAGCAACTGTAAACGACATTTGCAAATTTGATTATTCGATGTTTATCTTTACTCCTTGCCAGTTCAGTGGTTCTTCAAATTTGGTGTATCCAATTGCGAGTTATTCTTTTCTTCAGTAGTCTAAAGAAATCATGCTGGCCATGTGCATGTATAGTTTTGCTAGAATATATATAAAAATATACGGGTACAAATGGATTTATTGACGTTTATTGTTGACAATATCTACTGATATTAATATGTGCTTAAATCAATTCCATATGATAATATGTATTAATTTCAGGATTTTTTATTGTTTTTATTTTTTATTATGATCTTATTCTAAGAAATTGAGGGTATGCTATTTAGAAATCTGTTGTGCATTTTTCCTTACAAACCCACCATGCATTAACAAACTAGGTTCCAAGCCAATTTTTAGTCACAGTAATAAATTATTTCATGAACTGCATGTAAACAAGACTAGAAAATTTGAGTTACTTTGTTTTTTGTTTCTTTTTTGCATTACATTATGCACTTTCTGATCCTTCAAAATAATATGCATTTAGTTTGAATTTTTCATGTTAGTTAACAAGTCTTAGAATCCTGATGCCTCAATGATGTTCACGCAAAATGAATCTATTTTGTTGAAGCTTCTGGTGGTATGCATAAGCAAAAATGGTTCACAAATTATTACAAGAATTTAGTTTGATTGGTTAAATTTTGTTCTCCGTCTTTGATTGTTGTCTGTGAACATTCAAAGTATATTAAGAACTGGAGAGGACCCGAATCTTCTGAATCCAAAATAAATCCTTAATAATGAGATATCCTTGTGTGTAATGCGCATATTTGTTTTTTGGTTTTCATTTGTCCCTCGTAGGTCTTATTTTACTTGTGTAAAATTTTAGTGTCCACATATATGTTTTAAGTAATACTATATGTTTTGAGCATAGGATTACAAAGACTTCGCATCATGATTTGTTTCTGAAGTGTGAATTGCCCATGTGGTTGTGGAGTTTTACAAGATCACTTTGCTGTCATCCCCACTTAGGCCCTGATGTTGGAGGGGGGCAGCCTGGAAAAGGGAAAATAATGGCCTGAGCAGCCTATTTTAGGTTTTAATTTAGCAGGTATGCATTGGCCATTGTATGATTAAATGTGTGCTTAGTTTACCATTATTGTTACATGATTGCTTTAATGATAAATGTTAACTATGAATCCATAAACATAATTTTCTTTAATTCCCTTGGCTTTGATATAAAAGCCTTTAGCATAGATGCGCATCCTCGTGTGGTTTTGGAAATGGATTCAGGTAGCCGACCTCAAGTAATTGAGACAAAAACTTATCGAGTTGCTTTGATTTGAGTGCATCTTTGTGTGTGGTTTTCTTTTTGCTAATAATATATGAAGTCAATTAAAATGTTAGGTATTCTAAGATGTTCTCTAGACTTTTGAAAGCATCAGTTGAATGGATTACTTGTACTCTTCTTACTGCTTTAACTTTTAAGCTGTCTGTAACACTTACTTTTACCAGTGAATACTATTTGCTTGAAGTGGTGCGCTAATTCTGATTCTGTCGGATTCTGTGGCAGTCGATTCTTGCAATGCAGAGGTCCATTTGCAAAAAGAAGGCATCACCTGGTGGATTCTACTGTAATTTCAGAAATAAGAAGATGCCTTGAAGATGGAATTGAGTTCCAAGGCAGTTTGTTGAATTTTAGGAAAGATGGATCTCCATTGATGAATAGATTGCGTGTGACGCCTATATATGGAGATGATGACATAATAACTCATTTTATTGGTATCCAGTTCTTTACTGAAGCAAATCTTGATCTGGGTCCACTTCCAGGATCTTCAACGAAGGAGTCTGCAAGAACATCTGACTGGTTCCATTCCAGTCTTTCCTCATACAGGCCAATTGCAGATTCGAACCGAAGTATCACTCGTGGTGGGGCTTGTGGAATACTGCAACTGAGTGATGAGGTCCTGTCTTTCAAGATTCTTTCACGCTTGACTCCCAGAGATATTGCATCTGTTGGCTCTGTCTGTAGGCGACTCTACGAGCTAATAACAAAGAACGAGGATCTTTGGAGAATGGTCTGTCAAAATGCTTGGGGTAGCGAAACTACTCGAGTTTTAGAGGCAGTGCCCGGAGCAAAGAGACTTGGGTGGGGTAGACTGGCAAGGGAACTCACCACTCTTGAAGCAGCAGCATGGAGGAAGCTAACTGTTGGAGGTGCCGTTGAACCCTCTCGCTGCAACTTCAGTGCATGTGCCGTTGGGAATCGGGTGGTTCTTTTTGGTGGGGAAGGGGTCAACATGCAACCAATGAACGATACCTTTGTTTTGGACTTAAACTCTAGCAACCCAGAGTGGCAACACGTCAAAGTAAGCTCTCCACCTCCTGGTCGTTGGGGCCACACGCTTTCTTGTGTGAACGGATCTCATTTGGTTGTATTTGGAGGCTGTGGAAGGCAAGGTTTACTCAATGATGTCTTTGTATTGGATTTGGATGCCAAGCAACCAACTTGGCGTGAAATCTCAAGTCGGGCCCCTCCACTTCCACGATCATGGCACAGCTCATGTACCCTTGATGGGACAAAATTGATTGTTTCGGGTGGTTGTGCAGATTCCGGAGTGCTGCTTAGTGACACTTTTCTGCTTGACCTCTCAATGGAGAAGCCCATCTGGACAGAGATACCAGTAGCGTGGACCCCACCTTCTCGTTTGGGTCACACATTATCCGTGTATGGTGGTAGGAAAATCTTGATGTTCGGGGGTCTCGCAAAGAGTGGGCCCCTGCGCTTCCGCTCCAGCGATGTCTTCACGATGGATCTGAGTGAAGAAGAACCGTGTTGGAGATGTGTAACCGGCAGTGGTATGCCTGGTGCTGGAAATCCAGGGGGCATAGCTCCTCCTCCAAGACTTGATCATGTAGCCGTGAGCTTGCCGGGTGGCAGAATATTGGTCTTCGGTGGGTCTGTGGCGGGTCTTCACTCTGCCTCACAGCTTTATATCCTGGATCCAACGGATGAGAAGCCAACATGGAGGATATTAAATGTACCTGGTAGACCTCCGAGATTTGCTTGGGGACACAGTACGTGCGTTGTTGGAGGGACAAGGGCCATTGTTCTTGGTGGTCAAACAGGAGAGGAATGGATGCTAAGTGAACTTCATGAACTATCTTTGGCAAGTAATGTTATCTGATTTGGGAGAAACAGAAAGAACAAACAAGGGATTCTTTGACCTCTGGGAAGTGAAGTTCTCTATAAGTTAAAATCAATGTGGAGAAAATGTGCATTTGTTATGAAGATGCATGACAGATATATATATATATATATATGGCTCTGGTTGATACTTGCGAAAGCAGATGCTGCTGTTGCATCGGTGCATTTTCTTGTAAGAGATCGCGATGCACACTTTCTGAGTGACTTTCCATCAGTGTTTGAGGCGTGATGTATGTAACTGATAGTTTGGACACATTGGACCATTACCCCTTTCTAGGTTAATTAATAGTAGTACTTTGATAGTTTGGTAGTTTCTTTGTTGATAGCAAACCATGTGTTTATTGTGGTTTAGCAGGTTCCATAATTTAGACCCAACTTTCCCAACTACCTTCTTCATCCTCATCCCCGAGACCATTAAAGAAAGAAAGATGGGTGAGAAAAAGAAGATAAGCAGCGCTGCATGTGTATATATCTAGTGACGAACTGATTTTATCTTTTTTATGCATCTTTTCTGGACAATCTTATTAAGCAAGGGGGTGAGGCTGTAATCTGGAGAAGTGGTCAGTGTCACCATTGTTGCATAATGGTTGCTTGCCTGCTCTTTTCTGCTACGGCTGTGGTGGTTGGGATTGTTGAGACAGTCTTTTTGCTCTAATAGTTAATAAGGGTCCGATGATGCTGCTTCTCACGTGTTTGCTAGTTGTGGTTCAATCTTATTTCGCATTCGAAGTTAAGCTTTTGGATATGTTGCTGTTTAAAAAGTTTATTGTGTTTTATAGCGTTCTACTGTGTCTGAACAAATTACTTGGTGTTGGTCACTTTCAACTGCTAACATAATAATGTCAATCTGATAGGTAAATCAGGCGCTATCCTATCATTTTTAAGTGAGCTTGCTACTTGGGAATCCATGAATAGTGAAATTGGCGCTTGAACTAGTAGCGGTCAAGATTTTTTGATTTTATTACTTTGGCTACCTTTGCTGGGAGTTTTAGATCTAGAATGAGACTAAAGCCATTATTTGGTATGAGCTTTTTGTCCGGATTTTAATGAGTATTCCCACAGTAATTTGATGAACTGCATAACATTGCTTTCTCAAAAAAACTTGATTTTTGTGGATGAGAACTTAGACGTGGACTTGGAATTCCTCTGCAGGGAGAAGCTGGTGATATTGCTGTAGTATTTAACAATGTTATAAGACCTGGACCGGACAGGCCAGTTCAACCGGTGACCGGACTTAGTTTTGGTCCAGATGACACAAAAATCGAATAGGCCAAAAACCGGCCTTATTTGCAAAAATCGGTGGTTCAACTGGTAAAACTGGCGAACCGGTCTCGGTCCTCGACCAATTCGATTTTTTATTTTATTTCTTCTCTTCTTTCTTTCTTTTATATATATATATATATATAACCTTGCAGCCCAGAGCTCTATGCACTTTTGGATTTAATTCAGAATAATTGGGTACACATTCAAAAAAGTACTTATATTTTGCCATTTTGTCCATTCCAATTCTTAGCTCCTCCATATATAACCCAACAAATGGGATCTCTTTGGCTTCTTTCTCCACCCAATTTCTTCATCTCTCATCTCATACCTATACTAGGTGAATATTTATATTGTAAGGAACCATCTCACATCTTTTGCTTACTGAGGCCACATTGCAAAGAGGGAGAATGAATTAGATACATTAAGGGTCTTTCTCATTGCGAAGCACGCCTAAGTCGCCAAATATGTGCCCCTTGGCAGGTCTCCATATGACTTGCATAAGTTAAGCTACATTGTTGCGAGTGAATACAAGATCCATTGTCCACACAGACTATCCAGTCGAGAAGAGTCTTCATCTGATGTTTGAATAGAGGATTGTTGTCACTACACATTTGGAGATTGCAATTTTGAAACAATTTATCTAGTCCCATAGCTGCCAGACTTCCTTCAACATTATGAGAAAAATATCTTGAATGAGAGTTTGTGCACCAGAAGTTGCTCTAATTTATCCAATCCATTCTGCCATTTCCACAAGTCATTTTATCCTCAATTCATCAAATAATGATACTTGTAGGTGTAACAAATTTGTTGTTAATCCGAGCATTAGTTGATAGCAGCAATGACACACATATACACAATAAAAACGTGCGTACGTAAATATTCAACCAACATGATATTTCTGTCAAAGTTCCACACACAGCCCAATACTTGTTCTTGTTGTCCCGTCACATTACCTCATAGTTCTGTTGACCGTCTATGGAGACGGACTTGTTACCTCCATCAATCTATTTGACATAGGTGTGATTGAGTTTCAGAACGCTCTACATATAATGAACTACGTATTATATTGCAATAGCAATATGACACTAATTTATCATTTCGCATTGTTCAATATCATAGGTATATATAGTAATCATTTAGTAAATGCATTTCAGAGACATCACTATAAATTCATTTTCAATATGAGTATTGTCATGCATGTAGTACATAATAACATTTTAGATATACTATTTTAAGTTATGAGAACTTAACTAAAGCAGGCATATCTAGATATTTGAATGTTTATCCTTAAAAGTCTAACAGCTATTCGGTATTATTGACTCAAGAGATACTTTAAGATGCGATACATAAGAACGAAGAGACACTATACAGCACAAAGAAAGAAATGACGAGTATTAAAAAAATAAAGTCACCACGTAATGAGTAGAAAGTAGTCATTTCCACACACTAGAGACCATTAATTCTCTTTAATATCATACCTTTTTCTGTCTAATTGAATAAATAAGAATGCTAGAGTCAGTCTTATTAGAGGTCTGTCATGCTAGCTTAAACACTGTCGCATGTGTTTGCCTCCATAATACCCCCATTGCCTGCATATCTATTAGAGTGGTAGTAATTGCCTGGGCGTCTGTTGCACAATAACTGCTCCTTTCAATAGATAGGAGAGGCGAGAGGAGGAGACCACCCCATGCGATTGCCAGCACTACAAGCCTTCAGAGGAGCACTTTATCTTTGTTAAACTTGCGACACATTTGTCTGGTTTTCGCTTGTCAAATGGGTCAGTCTCTCATGCCGGTCATTCTGATACTATATTCTTAATCTCATATCTACACACCAGTCCATAGCTATTACCTATAAACTTATATTTCCGAAGTTCATTATATCAAGCGTATGAGCTACATATGTAAGATCATCACCTAAATTTTTGGACTGTACACTCACAAAGAGCTGGGATCTGTTTAATCTGGAACACTTGCGGTAAGAATCTATGCCTGGGATGTGTTCCTAGAGATTTCGTCCAGTTAGTATATTCCCTCCCTGGATGGTCTTCTGGTTGAGTTTCGACGCATATAAGAACCACAATCAAATCTCTCAGACCAATTTCACTGAAACGCTCCCAACCCTTCAAGTCCGTTGTACTCGGCTTTTGCATCAAACAATATATGAGTTGTTTATAGCCCTGCGAGTAGGAGAAGCATAGACGAATAAGCATATATAATAATTGTGATGTGAAAATCAATCACCTCAACTATCTTAAATAAGAGAGCGACACAGCGACTTGAGGCCATACTTCATGCGCTCCATGCATTGAAATTATATATGCATCAGCGCAATATGATATAGTCATTCAAGCGAATCGAGTAATAACCACAAAACTATTGCTTGGCAAAAGTCCGAGAGCATCCCATTTAATTTTGTCAAAATGGCAATTTTGAATGGCCGATCACTGTTCATCTACTTTTAGTAAATATTTTGTGCCAGCTGTGATAGCTGGCACCACTCTGCTCCCCTCCATACACGTGTATGGAGGATTTCCCTCTTGGAATGGCTTGTTTTGAAAGCCTTACAAGAGGGAGTTGCCTATAAGAAGAGGCTTCCTCTCTTGGCATTAGGGTTACAAAAATTTCAGAGGGAGCTCTGGATTAGGGTTAGGGTTGATACAATTTCCTATCTCTATATCTCTCTCTTGTGTGTGTCTAGTGTGTTGTTTGTCCATATTATTGCACACAAACACATAGTGTTACACCTTCTCTTGGTTGTTGAGGGACCAGAGGGTTGTTCTTGTGTTCTTGATTGGATTGAGCTCAAGGAGGCAACAGATCATCATTTGTGAAGGAGGACTTCAAGGGTAAGAAACTAGTCCCTTTTTACCCCCATTTTTGCACACTACTTTTACCTACTTGCAACTGTTTTTTTGTTTGCATATAATACATAAAAGTTCTGTTTTTAAGGCCTCTAAATAGTTTGTTAAGAGTGTTTTAAGCTTTGGGTTGTTTGACCCCTCTTAAGCCTTGTTTGGCCCTTGTTTTGTGCTATTTTGTGTGAGCTCCAGGACTTTGGTGTTTGGGCTCCTCACCATTGAAATCTTGAGGGATTTCAGTGGTAAGGATGGTGCCTTGAGGTCCCAAGAAGGAGAGGGCCACCCCCTCTCCTTGTTGTCCTTGAAAAGGACCATTTTTGCCTCTTGAGGGAGCACCTAGCTTAGGCTCTTGTTGACCATCCTTAGCTGTTATTTATGCTTATTTTGCATGAAATAGCATTGTTTTAAGTTGGTTTTGGTACACCATGCTTGCTTAGCATACATGCCTTGTAATGCCATTTTGTTGCCTTAACATACCTTAGGTTGTAAACCATTGTTCTAGCATGTTTTAGGCTTGGCTTTGTGAAGTTTCATGTTTATTTTGCCATGA